CGGTTCCTGGGGAAGGAAAGGTGGTCTCCAGCGAGGGGCAGGCTTTCCCCAGGGTCCCGGGAGGGGCAGGGCTAAAGGCAGGACTGGGTTCTGGAGATGGACAGGAGCCCGAGGGGAACCCCGGAGGCAAGTGCCACCCTCTACAGAGGAGGGGGTCTGGCGGCCCTGCCCCAGGAAGGCTCAGGGTCCCCCCCATGGGAAAGACCAAGGCCCCGCCAACCAGCCCCTCACCTGCACACACACCCCGCTTCTCCTCCTTCCCGTCTCCTGTCTGCCCGCTGGAGCCCGCGGCCTCGCCCTTGTCCTGCACTTGGGGGGAGAAAGGCCTGCCGAAGGGAAACCCTGCCCAGAAAGAGAGGCGGAGCTTGTCACCCACATTCCGGGGCTTCCAGCCTTAGACATCATCCCCCTCGAAAGTGATAGGGCAAAAGGAGAGGGCGAGGCTCTGGAAAAGAGGGGTCACTAGAGCAGACTCGGGAGGCCCCTTTGAGTGAGAGACTGCCCACTCCAGGGCCCCTGCCAGAGTGGCTCCTCTCAGTGCTCAGCAGGCCTGGCCTGGTTTCCCTGAACAAGCAACAGAATTCAAGGGGGAGGAGTTGGCAGGGCAAGTGCCAGCCACGTCCTCCATCATCACAGCCCCTAAAAGTGGACCCCACAATGCTGGACACAGGAGAGGCTGGGCTTGGTGGCTCACACCTGCCATCCCAGCACTTTGGGAGGCAGAGGTAAGAGAACTGCCTGAGTCCAGGGGTTCGAGACCAGCCTGGGCAGCTTGGCAAGACCGCGTGTCTACAATAAATTTTTAAAAATCAGCCGTGCATGGTGGCATGCGCCTGTCGCTCCAGTCACTTGGAAGGCTGAGGTAGAAGGATAGCCTCAGCCCAGCAGACAGAGGTTGCAGTGGCCATGAGCATGCCACTGCACTCCAGCCTGGGTGACAGAGTGAGACTCCCACCCAAAAAAAAACAAAAAGAGAGAGACACACAGGTGAGTGTCCCACTGTGCACCCACACAGAGAGGCCAGGGTCGTCCTATCTGCTCAGCTCTTGGGTGAGTGGCCTGGAGACTTTGGTCAAGTCAGTGAGAGAGCAGAGAGGCCCAGTTTTCACTACCCTGCAAAAGAAAGGAACGTGTTGCACCAACCAGGTGGTTTGGGGCATCCATGAGGCCTACCATGGGGCTGCAAATGGGTGCTACACTCCCTCTGATCTCCCAGGACTTGCCTGGACTTGCTGCCCTGGGTGCTGGGAAATGTTAACCATGGTGCTAAGTGAACCTAGGCTAATTACAGGGAGGAGCAGACAGCTGGTGGAACCCACAGGGGATCTCTGGGCCACCACTGACATCACAGGGTGGAATTGCCAAGCCCCTGGGATTCCACCTGGCCTACCAGGTGTGCTATGTGCCAAATGAATGAATGAATGAACACTAATTTTTCCATAAGGCCTCATAAAATTCTGTCAAGAAAACTAGAGTCTGAAACTGAGGGGTCAAAAGCTCTGAGATGTGAATAGTTTCCACCTAGAAGCCAAGGGAACCAAGTCCCCTCTGAAATGAGCTCCCGCTCTGCAGAGAAGATGGACACCTCAGAGCCTGCGGGGCCTAGAGTTTAGCTGATGCTATTTCTCTCCAGGGCAAGTAGCCCTCAGGCCCTGAGCTGAGCTGCCTGCTCAGACACTTTGAAGCTGGGGTTTTGAGGAGGAAGACAGAACTATGGAGGTAAGTCAGCACTGTGCAAGAACCAAACAAAAGCAGGCTGTCTGGATCAGCGATGACCAGTAGGCAGTCACTAGCCATGTGTGAGTATTTAGACTCAGATTTTAGCCAATTAAAACGGGGTGAAATTGAAAACTCAACTCCTCTATCCGTGTTTCAAGTGCCCAACAGCCACACTTGGCTCGTGGCTAGTGCACACTGTGGCACTTCCATCATTCTGGAAGGTTCCATAGAACACTGCTATCTAGATGAACAATGAGAGAGAAAAGAAAGATGGGAGGGACAGAGAGAAGTGGGCAGGGAGGAGAAGGCAGGGCAGGTCCCCTCTCGGACACTCTGGGCCCCCCCAGACGAGCTCCTACCCAAGGACAGCCCATTTCTCTTCTGTAGGACATCTCTGTAGAAGTTCTGTTGAGTGTGGTCCAACCGTCCCCACTCCTCCTGGGAGAGGTACAGAGCCACATCCTCAAAGGTCACTGGCATCTGAAACAATGAGAAATATCTCTGCTACAGGACATGCCACGGACAGGTGCAGGGACGTCAGGGTACAGGCCATGTGGCGAGGCCCTGGTCTCCCAACCCGCTGTCTAGAGTGAGCCCGCCACTCACATCTAAAGGTGAAGCAGGTCAACCACCCAAGGATGGCCTTTGGGAGTGTGGGTGAGAACAAAGACACAGTGACATTTTCAAGGACAACAGCTAAAGCTCAGGATGTCCATGCAGCCCCCACCCTCAGCTCAGGCCCCGAGGACAGTTCACAGTCAGAGACCCTGTGTCTCCACTGCCTTGTGCTTTTCCTTTAGCCTTGGCCAGGTCTGACTGCAAGCCCCACGCCTGGACAATTCCAGCAGCGCTTCAGGGAGCCCTGAGCCATGAGTTCCAGCTCCAAGTGGGAAGGCCAGTGGGATCCTGGTTTCACATGGAACCAGGAGATGGTGCAAGAGCTGAGTGCCACACGGCAGCCGGGAAAAGGCCACGTACCTGGGACCAGGCAGTGAGGAGCGCAGCAGCCATCTGTCGGTCTCTGGTCCTCCCCTCACGGGAAAGTGCAGGGATCCGGTGGGAGGGAAGGGCTGTGAAAGGAGAGAGGTTCTCAAGGTGACCAGCTCATCCTGCTGGACCCACTGCTCCCCCAGCTGCCTGCGACCCCACCCTCAGCCTGATCTAAGAAGAGGGTCAGTGGCCCGAGGTTGTAGGAAAGCGCTCCCCCTCCCCACGTAGACACTCTCAGCCCCACCTGGCTGGGCCTCCACCCTCCCCACAGCTGCCCCCTGGGGAAGCGCCTCTTCTATATCCCTCTCCTACCTCCGCCAGACAGGAAGAGAGCTTTCTCCTTAGAGCCATGACTTAGGGGTGCCCAGCCCCATGCACCTTGAGCCCCGTCCTCCTGTGAGGCCCCCTCCGGGTGTAGCTCTTCTGGTTCCGACTTAATGTGCAACTCCCGAGCGGCTCCTACAGGTACCGTCTCCTCCAGCCCAGAAAGCATTTCCTGGCAAGGATGCCCGTGCCCTGGAACCTAGAAATGTCAGCCCTCATCAGCACCCGGACGGAGAGTGGGAAGGACACCAGAGTTGCATGCCCTGGGGTCCCCGCAGGGGCAGACGACCTTGCTGTCTCCTTTCTGGCTCACCCCAGCAGGGATGGGGCAGCAAGGAGGAAGGAAGGGTCACCAAGCTGCCGCCACAGTGAGGTGGGCAAGGAGCCCCAGGCGGTGACCTCTCCTCAACTCAAACATTGCACAACAGGGCAGTGTGGACTGCTGGTTTTTTGTTTTGAGTCAGAGTCTCACTCTGTTACCCAGGCTGGAGTGCAGTGGCACGCTCACAGCCATGGCAGCCTCAGCCTGCTGGGCTCATGATCCTTCCACCTCAGCCTCCCAAGTAGCTGGAACTGCAGGTGAGCACCACAACACCTGGATAATTTTTTTTTTTTGCTTTAGTGTAGAGAAGAGGTCTCACCAAGTTGCCCAGGTGGGTCTCGGACCTGTGGGCTCAGGCAATCCTCTAGCCTCCTCCTTCCAAAGGACTGTTGTTTTTAAGTATAGTGGGTTGAACAGAGTCCCCACAAAAACCTATGCCCTGAACTTCAGAATGTGACCTTATTTGGGAAAAGGATCTTTACAGAGGTAAATAAGTTAAGGAACATGAAATTAAATCATTCTGGTTTTACAATGGGCCCCAAATAGAAGGACTCATGTCCTTATAAGGAGAGGACACACACAGAAGAGGAAGCAGAGACTGGAGTGATGCTGCCACAAGCCAAGGAACATCAGAAGCCCCCAGGAGCGGGAGGAGACAGGAAGGATCCTCCCCTACAGCCTTCCAAGGGAGCGTGGCCTCGCCCACATTGTGGTTTCCTGGCCTCCAGGACAGTGAGAGTAAATTCTGGCTGTCTTCAGACACCCAGGGAGTAGAAACTTGTTATGGCCTTAATGGGAGACTAATATACCATGGCTCAGGGATGAGACTGCAGGCCATTGTCATATAGCTCAAAGGCTTGAGAAAGGCATTTCCCTTGCACCGGGAGCCCCTGGTGAGGCCTCCTCACCACCCAAGTGCAGGGACTGGCCAGCCTTCTGCTGGAGGCTCATACCCCTCCTGCCATCCCTCATTTAGGTCTTAAAAGGAAAGAATCTTGGGCCAGGAGTCAGGGTGCCCAGGTGCTGGACCCAGAGATGCAGTCAGGCAGCCTCTGGGCTACAGCTGCTCTGCACCCACAAAAGGCAGTTCTGAGGCACACCCAGATGATAGTGACAAGGGCTGCCTGCTAGAGAAAGTCCTGGAGAAACACAGAGCGGTGCTGGGAATTGGTCCTCTACCTGTGTGAGCCTGGCAGGATCCAGTATCATCAGAGAATGTTGATGTGTGAGGCTCTCACGTGCACGAGGTGTTCAAGGCACACGTAAAGTCACTGAGGATGGGAAGCTGAACAGCAGTAACAGTTTTGTACTTTTCTCGTATGAAAACAGTATAACTAACACTTCATTGTTATTAATAGTTACAACCACCAGCAATACTAGTTGAGAGGATACTAGTTCTAGCATCATGGGTGACTCAGGATCTAGCATTGTGGGTGTCCGTGTTTCATGTCATAATAATCTGTTAGTTGCTGATGAGCTGCTTCTGGAAGACTCTCATGCCCATTATCTCCTTTGAACCTCCCAAGAACCCGACGAGACAGGTGGGAATGGCAGGCACATGATCTGTATTTTTATTCTATTTTATTTTTTTGAGTTGGAGTCTCACTCTGATACCTAGGCTAGAAGGCAATGGCACACTCACGGCCAACACAGCCTTGACCTGGGCTTAGGCGATCCTTCCATCTCAGCCTTCCAAGAAGCTGGAACTACAGGCATGTGCTACTATGCCCAGCTAATTTTTTTATTTATTGCAGAGATGAAGTCTCACCAAGTTGTCTAGGCTGGTCTTGAATCCCTGGGCTCAGGCAGCCCTCTTGCCTTGGCCTCCCAAAGTGCAGGGATTACACGCTTGAGTCACCATGCCAGGCCATGATCGGCATTTTACAGAGGATGTGCCTGGTTCCCAGAGGCCAGGGGACTGGCCCTAGGTCACACACCTGCCGTGTGGCTGACTCACTCCTCCGACTCTCAGCCTGGAGAGCCCGGTCCCCCACTAGGGGCCATTGCACACACACAGGTACCAGCTACAGGAAGGCCCTAGAGCTCAGAACCAGAAAGATGAGAAGACGTGGTCCCATGGAGAAGGGAGGAGGGAGGAGACCAGGCTGCCCTATGTGCTGTTCAGAAAGACAACCTCACTGGCAGGACCCCTACCTGCCCCCTGCTCTCTCATGTGGCCACTGACTACCGAACACCCGAGCAGAGCAAAATAGTCATGCTGTAAATCCCAGATGGAGGGTACTTCCCATCATGCCACCTTCTCTTCAACCCCACCCCAGGGCCCCATCTACCAGCCCTGTTCCCTTAGGGAGTCAAACTCTTCCACGGGTCCAGACTCCCTGTCTTGAAAATCCCCTCCATTCCAGGTCCTTCTATGGCAGGCCTCCCTCACCCGGGCCCCCATCCATACCTCCAGGGCTCTCTCCTTGTCCTGGGTAGCCAGGATGCCTCCATCGTCTGCAGACATTTTCTATTTCAGAGCTAGAAAGAATAACTGAGTTGTTTCTCCCCCTGGCTGGCCAAGCCCCCTCCAGCTTCTGGCCAGGAGCCTGGAAGAGCAGACAGAAATCAGTCAGCGCTTCCCAGACACCTCCAAAGTGCCCTGAAAATCCCCACAGGGACCAGAGCTCCCTGGTCCCAATCGGAAATAAAGTCTCCCAGACCCTGTCCAACAGCCCCACTTTCTATGCTGTTTCGGGTTCCTCCTCCTGAAAGAATGCTGTTTTGTACTGTCCCTTCTGTGGCTGAAGCAAGAGCTCCGCATCTCCACACGGCTGGCTCAGGGAAAGCCGGGGCTAAATAGGAACTGGCATTTCCTGTCATCGGGAGCAGAAAGTTCTGCAGATTCCCACAAAACAGGTGCAGTGGGGCCCTGCCCATCAAGGCCAGAGGTGTCCAGGCCCTGATGTCCCCCAGCCAAAGGACATGCACCCTGTGCCCCCTGGACTCTCAGACCCACCTAGGAGTCAGAAATCAACCTGCCCACTTGCAGCAGCCCCACTGCAGTTGCAACCACCCAACCTGGCCCTGGGGTGCCCGTCTGCTCCCAGTGCCAGCAGACAACACTGTCTTCCTTCCCAAACCTGTCCCGGTCCCCTTCTCTCCTGCCAGCCTGAAGCCTTCCACCTTTGACTTCAACCCCTCCCACAAGTTGATTGTCTGCACTGGTCTCCGGGCCCAGTGCCCTCTCCAGGACTCCCTTCTCACCGGGGTGGGGGCAAAGGGGTCACCTGCGGCAGCCGGGCCGCCTCCCCGGGGAAGGGAGTCTCCACAGCCAGCCTATACCGAGCAGGCGGGGGAGCCGGGTGGAGACTGGGATTAGGGACAACAGGAAGTCCATCCAAGATCCTGTTCCCCATGCAGCTGCAGTCCTACAGGGTTCCCAGCTTCGAGGGTTCCGGGTCTGGGGTCCTAAGCCAGGGCTGCACCTGCTCAGGAGGTGACTCCAGATCTGCCATGCTGATTCGCGATGATGGCTTCACCCAGGATGTTTAGTGATGCCCGCAAGGGCCACCAAGACGGGTAAAGGGGAAGATGCCTTTGTGGAAATATTCTGATATTTGATGATTCAAAGAGAGCACTGCAGTCACCCTCCCAGGAGGAAGGGCACTTTGTGGGGGTGGAGGGGCCAGGACCATTCTTTTACATGCACAGGGCTTCTGAAGGTCTCCCTGGGGGCCCAGAGCGCTCTGTCCCTAACAGTGAAGCAGGAAAAAAGAGAGGCTGGGTAGCCTCCTCTCCCTCACCCTGATGCCCACACTGTGGAAATAAGTGGGCACATCTGATTTTTTCCAGTTCAGGGATGGGGGCATACAGAGGTCTGACTCAGCTATTCCTGGGGTCCCAGAACCTCAGACATCCCAGCAACCTCAGATTCCAACACTCAGGCTCTGTTTCCCTTTTTTTTCTTTTGAGTCAGAGTCTCACTCTGTTGCCCAGGCTGGAGTGCAGTGGCACGCTCATAGCCACCGCAGCTTTGACCTGCTGGGCTCAGGTGATCCTTCCACCTTAGACTTACAAGTAGCTGGAACCACAGGCACATGCCACCACACCCAGCTAATTTTTAAATTTATTTTAGAGTTGAGATCTCACCAAGTTTCCCAGCTGATCTCGGACCTATGGGCGCAGGCAGTTCTCTCACCTCTATCTCCCAAAGTGCGGGATTATAGGTGTGAGCCACCATGCCTGGCTCCCTTTAGACCCTGAGATGTCTAAAATGGGGAGGACAGAGACTGTGCTTTCATTTCTGGGGAGAGGAGCCATTTCTTATGATCAGGGCATGGGGCTGAGTGTCAGCAGCAGGGGTCCAGGCCTGAAGTCAGATTCTGGGAAGTTTCCTCCAGGAAACGCACCCATACCTGCTATCTTTGGCTTGCCAAAGTCCTCTGAGATGTCCCGTTTCACCCAACAAGGCAGGCACAGCTGCCCCTGTACCAGCTCACGGGTATGCTGAGGGACTCACAAGGACTTTTTTTTTTTTTTTTGCGTTGGAGTCTCACTCTGTCGCCCAGACTGGAGTGCAGTGGCCACTCCCGGCCACTGCAGCCTCGACCTGCTGGGCTCTGGTGATCCTTCCACCTCAGCCTACCAAGTAGCTGGAATTACAGGTGCGCACTGCCACGCCCGGTTAAATTTTTTAAAAATTTATTATAGAGATGAGGTCTCATCAAGTTGCCCAGGCGGGTCTCGAACCCGCGAGCTCAGGCAATTCACTCACCTCAGCCTC